TCACGGACTGGCCCTAGGCTCCTGCGAGTAGGCGTCACAATTGTTAATAATTCTCTTAAGGAGAAGAGGAAAAGAGTAAAGGAGAAACTAGCTATAGAATATTAATATTATATAGCGGGCCCTGCGGGCCCGCTTCGGTTCCTTAACGGCCTTAGGCCGAATATAAGGAAGGTGGGCTATAGAGCCCGAGTTCTTGACATTTATACCTTAAGAGTATACTATTAAGGTTAAACTTATATATAAATACCTATTTTAATAATATTAACTTAACTCTTACCTCTTTATTTACCTTTAACTATATACTTATTTACTTAAGCTCCCTTATCTTAGAATATATAGTAGTCTAGAAATAATTATATAATAGGTAAGTTAATATTTTCTTCTAATTTTATAAAGGTAATAAAAGTATTATATTTAACTAAAGAGTTTTTATACTTAAGATTACTTTTACTAGCCTTCTAATATTTATATACTCTTTTATAATTATATTAAATATTATAAAGACTATTTATAATAGCTATTATTTATCTAATATATAATTTTACTACTTAAATAAAATTATTAATAATATATTTTTAGGTTTATTACTTAAAATTATAGTATATATCTTAGGCTTATTTAATTAATTAATATAACTTTTAACCTTTTTTTTAGCTTTTCTTTTACTAATTTAACTACTTCTTTATTAATTATTTAATAGTTATTCTCTAGTTATATTTACTTAACTATATAATAAAATCTCCTCTTTTATATAAAGGGTTATAACTTCCTATATTTACTTTAAAGGTTTTATATTTAGTTAATTAAGTATTTAGTTTATTAGATACTTAGGTATTTTTATCTCTAATAGGTAAAGCTCTAATAAAATAATTATTAGATTTTCCTAAGTATCTAGTTCTAATATATTAGAGGGTATTAATAGCCTTACTAATAGTTTATATATATAACTAGGTATAGGCTTTTTAGCTTTTACTTTTATTAACTTATAGCTAGAGTTTTACTCTAATAGATAGTATATACCTTCTTATATAATAGGTTTAGTATCTTAAAGAGAATTATTAGGTATATTTAGGTCTTACTAAGTAGGCTATTATTCCTTTTAAGGAATACTTAGCTAATTAACTAAATAATTAGTTATCTACTTAATTACCCCTAAGCTAAGGACACTTAGTAAAGTATTAAGTATAAGAAGTAGATAAGGGCGTTTAAGCTCTTTAATCTCTTCTAATTAAGTTTTAACTTTACTAATTAAAAGCTTAAATAAGTATTCTTTATCTATTCTATATATTATATCTTTATTAAATTAGACATTCTATATAATAACTATATACTTAAAGACTAGAATCTAGATCTAATAAAGGTTAGTTATTATATAACTAATAAAGTATTTAATATAACCTTAAAAGTTAACCTTATATTATTTCTAGTTTTTATTCTCTTCTTAATTATACTTAAGGGTATAAGTATAATAGCTATATATTAATAATAAGCCTTAGTTAAGCTACTTATTATTACCTAGTTAGGTAATAGGTAACTTTAAATTTATTTTTAGTTAGTTATATAATATTTTATATAGTATTTACTAATTATAGTATTTCCTTAAGCTAATATTTAATAGGTAATATATAGTAATTATAGCTTCTAATTATAGGTTTAAAGAGAGGCCTACTCTTTTAATTATTATAATTACCTTAGTCTATACTTCTTAATTTATATACTCTATACCTCTATTTAGCTTATATATTCTAAAAGAAGTAATTTCTAGCTTAATTCTAGAATAATAAACCTAGTATTAGTAAGTACTTTACTTATATATACTAATAAGTATAGCCTTATTATTATAATATAGTATATATATATAAAGTTTAAATTAATTTTATACTTAAGTTAAAAAAGCTAATATATAGTTAAATAGTATATTATATACTTAATTAATTATAACTTAAGTATATAAATTACTTATAAATTTATCTTTAATTATAAAGAAGTATTATTTATTATCTTAGCTAAGTAAATATTATATTAGATCTTAGCTTGAGTACTAGAATAGTTAAGGTAAGAGGCGCTTACTTAGGTATTATAATATAACTTATTTTATATATATCTAAATATAGACCTTATATTTAATTCTCTTTATTCCTTTAATCTTAATATTTTATATATATATAAAATATTTTAAGGCCTATTTACTAAGGTGCCCTAAATATAGGTACTACTTTACTTCCTTATCTATTTAAGTAAGTAAAGGTATAATAGAAATATACTTTAAGTATTTATTATTATCTTTTACTATTATATTAATTAGCTCCTTATATTTAAGGTAATTTTTATCTTATTAAAGTAATTTAAACTCCTAGAAATAGAGGTTCTTATTTATATATATTAATTTAATAATAATATTATTTTTATATATATTATAATAAAAGGTATTATTAAAGCTATATATCTAAATACTAATAGTCTTTATTAAATTTATTAAAATAATATTTATATAAAAATAGTTAATTAATATAATATATCTTAGAATTATATTATATGTTTTATATATACCTTATATATTTTCTTTAAGTATATAAGTCTTATATTCTAAGATTATATATTCTAAGTCTCTAACTTTAATAATACTATATTTAATATAGAAAAATCCTTTATTAAGGAGTTTTTTATTATTAATAATATATAGTCTAGCTCTAGTATCTTAGATTATATTATTATAAAGCCTATAATATAATCTTATAGTTAATATAACTATATTAAGTTAGTTAATATATTATAATATATTTAAAAAAA